TCCGAGTCCCTGCCGGCCTGAGGGACGGACGGGGCCCCGGCCGCCCCAAAGCGGCCCCTGGGCGGGTATGCTCCTCAGTGCCCTTCAGTCTGGGGTGGCCTGCCCTAACGCCCCAAACAACGCAGGGCACTGATTTCTGCTAATTCTGCAGATGTACTGGGCATCCCCAGGGAAATGGTGAATGACCCTTTGGGGAATTTTGCAAGAATAATTGTGTCTCCAGACTCTTCCTTTGGCCTTTCTCCCTTCCCTCTCCTTTGCAGGCGTCATCTCCCCACTCTCCCTCTTCCCCATCCAAATTTACCTGGACCAGTTCCAGGCCTTTGGGTTGGTGTGGATGATGGAGAAGTGATCGGGCTAATGTGTCAGAGGAGGGCTGAGCTCTTCCTCCCAGGAAAGGTGCACTGCGTTTTAATAGCAGCCTCTTCCAAAATCTTTAAATGCAGGTCAAAGTTACTTTGTTCAACCAAAGGACTTATATGCAAGCATGTAGGCCTAACCAATGGACACAGACAACAGGGGGGTGAGGGCATGAGTGGGGTGGTAGGGGATAATGTGGGGATAAGGACACATGTAATATCTTAATCAATAAAAAAATATATTTAAAAAAATGCAGGTCAAAGTTACTTTGAAACTTCAGGCCAAGGAAGAAGAGGAACCAAGGCGAGGCCAGGGTAGGCAAATGGAGAAGATAGGGGGAAGGGGGAAAATTCATCAATTCCTTCCACAAATATTTACTGAACATTTACTATGTGCCAGGTACTGCTTAGACAGAGGTTGGACTTTGAGGTTGGATACACTTGAGTTTAAATTCCAAAATCACCAATCACTAGCTTTGACTGTTAACAAGTTATTTAACTTCTGAGCTTCACTTTGTCTCTTCATACAGTGGGGCCTTGACTTACAAGTGTCCTGACTAACGAGTTTTTCGAGATACGAGCCGTTTCTCAGACGATGTTTTGCTTTGAGTTGCGAGCTAAAATTCGGGTTAGGAGCCAGCTTCAGATACCCCACCGCTAGTTGGCGCAGCGAACGTCACAGTGAACACCACAACATCAGCCCAGCATCACGTGTCTCACTCATTCACAACTGATTTGACATACGAGTAATTTGAGTTACGAGTTCCGTCACGGAACGAATTAAACTCGTAAGTCAAGGCCCCACTGTATATAAATACATGAAAAACTAATGCCAACTCACCAACTGTAGAATCAAATGAGATGAGAACAGGGCATAGCACACAGTAGCTTCAGAAGCCCGCGGATCCGCAAGTGCATGGGTGATACTTTGTGTTTAAGTCAGATTATTATGGGGAAAAATTTGATAAGAAGGCAAAATTATAAAGAAATTAGAATATTAAAAGGTACTCTTTTAAATCAGGCTGAAAAAAGAGTGCCATGGCCATCTTTAATGTGATTTCTTGTTCAAATTAAAATCTTAATTCGTATTGGGAATCTAAAATCTGTAATAAGAAATGAAACCCCACTGCCGAATCCGCCTCTGGTGCAGAGAGATTCAAAGGTGGCAGGAGAGGGCAGAGCTATAAGCTCTCCCACAATGAGATTACTTAATGTTTTGTTTAAAAATTACCAGAGAACATCTTATGATAACCAAATTTTGGCTAAGATAACCTTGGGTGATAGCTACTACTTTGGAAAGCGAAATAGGAAAACATTTAAAATATGTCTTTTTCTATTAAGCATGACTTTGGGGAAAAATACACCATCTGAGTCATTTGCTGAAACTTCCCCCAAAGCAGGATGTGGGGAAAGAGAAGAAGGGAGCACATGGCAATCCAGTATGGATGCCCCCTCCCCAAGTATTCTAATTTAAAGTCCCCTCGTAATTGAAAAGTTTTACAAAATTTAGAAATGCGTCTGGGTTTCTGTGCACGTGTAAAGAGAAAAGTGGCTTAAAACTAATGCGCACATCGTCCGATTTCGGAAATTAGAGTTTTGAGCTGGAATCTCTCTACAAATCTACAAAATAAAACCCCAAGACTGATTATTTCCTAAGAAAAATGGTGAATTTAACCAAAGGAAAAAAGATGCAAGCTGGTTCTAGCAAGAAGATTTGTATTTCCATAATAAAGAGTTTTTAAAATGCTAATGAACCGCGTTCCAAAGTTAACTCAAGGCCGAAAAGAAATCCAGTATATTGTCTCTGTTACAAAAATTTGCTAAAGAAAATGCCTTAAAATAATTATTTAATTTAAATCTGAAAATTATTGAAAAATAGATAATTAAAAAATCTAAGTAGCCCTTTGTTAATTAAAAAAGCCAGCTATGCCTTTCTAATAGAGGAAGAGGCTAGTTGCTTCCTGCCTGTAGCAAAATCTTAAAAAAAGAATGTGGTCAGTTTACATCTGAAAAGACCAGGTAGGCCAAAACCTGCTTTGCAAGGCTCAAATGTGGTTTTCCAGAGCTGCTAGAAACTAAAAAGTAAAGTTTACTAAATCAAATGATAAAACTTGTTCAATAATCTAAATTTGCCTCATGAAAAATCTAGAGGACAGAATTGAATATATTGATTGTGTCTTGTATTTTTGAGGTTTATTCTTAAGAATATAAGGTGTTATTAATCTAAAGAAATGCTAAATATTTGACTTGCCAGATCTAAAAGCTTTTGGAATAAATTGGGAGAAATTATAGTTGTGGTAGTAACTAAATGTCTAAAGTATAGAAATTTAATTTTTAAGAAAATCTTGTGTTTTCTCTGAAAAATTAGAAATTCAAAATATGTTACTCATTAGTCTAATTAAAAAAGAGGATTCATTCTGTGATCCCAACCGAAATTTTTAATACTAAAACCAGTCTAAATTTAGTAATTGATATTTTAAGATAACTATAAAAAGTATATAATCTTTAAATCATATATATTTTACTTATATCTTAAATGTTATAAAAGGTTTGGCCTCTAAGAAGGGCTAAACAAGTTTTGTTTAATATCTCTGAAAATACAGCAGTGGAATTTTAAGATGTAATTTAAAAGACAAAAGCTCCTCGCCACCTGCATTTTAAATTAGGCTGGAGGTGGGCGGCATTTGCGCCTTGTGAATCAGACGTAAAAGTTTACTAAATTTACTAACTTTGCTTTTTCAATAAAAATACCTACTTAAATTACTTACTAAATTAACTTTTAAAAATATAATCAAAGTTTCCTATAATTTAAGTTATATCGAAGCCAATATCTTTGTAAACAAGTGAATCCTAGTAAAGTCTTCTAAAAAAGTTACTGAAAGCTTCCCATGATCCCTCTGTATATGCAAATAAGCTGAAAGAGAATGCTGTTTAAAAATATTATTCTAAATTTAATAAAAAGAGAAATTTAAAATTTTGAAATCTCTTCCACTAATATTTATAGGATTATCTAAAGATTATTATTAAAATACCAAATCTGAAAATAAATACAGTCACCATGAATGAATAAAGACTTGAAATACATGGCCTTGCTGCACTATTAGTTAACACCCAGGAAGTAATTCTGTAGGTTGTTGGGTGTAAATAGAAAGACAAAGGAACTTTTTTTAGGTGAAATTTTCTAAGCTGGACTGAAAATTACATTAGGGGTGAATAAAGGGGCTTCCTTCAAACATCTTAACAACTTTAATTAATTTTATTATTTCTAATGTGAAAAGGTAGATGAGTTGTTTTTGCCTCCCTTAACATGGCTAGTGTAAAATTACTCAAAGACTGATTACAGAAATTTAATTAATATCATTTATTGCCTATAACCTAGGCCCTAGGACAAGTAAAGTTAAAAAAATAATAAAGATAAATGTTATTCAGATTAATTTAAATTGGCTAATTGAAATATTCAAGAAATTTAATTGTACTAGATAGGAAACTGTTCCTGAAGTATTAACTATAGTTTTTTATTGATGGTTCATCTTATATAAAAATTGCTTAACATGCAATAAATCCAGAGCAGTCATATTTCTACACAAGAAGTTGAAATTAAAAGTTATCAATACTGCATTGTAAAATCTCTAAAAGCCTCCTAATATTTAAATTAAAAAAGGGGGGATAGTGGTATAATGCCCTGTAAGTAAAAGCCTTAATTACATCAAAAAATTTTTTTACTTGAAAATTAATTTTAATTTGTAATGCTAATGGCAAGACACCCATAAAAACACACATGGTGTCAAAATAAGCCAAAGGAAAATCATTTGGGCAAAAATGAAAAAGATCCCAAGTCTAATTTATAAAAATGATTCCTTTATTAACCTTTGGTCGAGAATATGTTTGTATATTTTCAGAAAACTCCTCCAAGCCCATGTGAATTTCTGCAACAAGGAATTCCAGAGAGGAAGTGACCAGACTTCTCCAGCCACAGAATAGCAGTGGCCCCATGAGAACAACAGACGAGAAACAGTCCAGAAATGAAGGTGGTGAAGACGCCTTGCCATGCTAGCAGTCAGCAGCTGTGCATCGCTGCAGGTTGCCCAGGACCAAACCAGAGAGGGTCGGACCTGCATTGCCACCATTTGTCCACCATCCAGAACTGAAGTATCATTGCTGACATGTATACATAAGAAACTGTTAGACATTGAAATTGGGACCCTAAGAACTGTTGGCTCAAAAAGAAACTTACTGCAAACGATTCCTTTAATACCTGGCAGCAATTTGAAGGGACATGATAGAACTCTGCCCTTTCCGTTGAATTTAAAATCTTAAAACATACATTCTTTTTTTAAAAATATATTTTATTGATTTTTCATAGAGAGGAAAGGAGAGGGATAGAGAGTAAGAAACATCGATGAGAGAGAAACATTGATCAACTGCCTCCTGCACACTTCCTACGGGGGATGTGCCTGCAACCAAGGTACATGCCCTTGGCCGGAATCGAACCTGAGACCCTTCAGTCCGCAGGCCGATGCTCTATCCACTGAGCCAAACCGGTCAGGGCAATGGAGTGAATTTTAAAAGG